ACGGAACCGCCGGTGGCGCGAAAAGGGTCAGTTTCTCCAACCAATCGGCCGTTGGTCAGGATTTGGCTAGTGGAAGCTGGCCAACGAAACATGGCACTGCCCCGGAACCACCGACTAGGAGACACAGGAGCGAAGACAGTGTTTCCGATTCCGATTCCGTGTTCTTGCATCAGGAACGTAGGGATGTGAATTGCCTGGATGGTACGGAGTATGACGCTGACAGACCTCTGCCGCCTTTGCCCAAAGACGTTGCAAGTGGCGCGAGAAGCGTATCTATAGCTGGACCAGGACCCGCACGGAGTGTCGCCTATAACGAAGTTCGTTGGAACAATGGGAACGACCCTAGGAGAGCTGTTAGTCCGCAACGAGTACTTCAGCAAAAGGGTGAGTGCCGTTTTAGTCGATCTTTTTTCTCGCTAAATCAATTTCACCAACCGGTGGATTACGGTTACGTTCTTTGTCTTATTAACACTTTATCGACCGGCAGCTCAGGCGCAGATTCTCCCTGGCGCCGGCTGTGTTTCGGTTTAGACTCTCCGATACCATTTTTTTCGTTTATCGCGAACGGTAAGTTTTTCAAATTGGTATAAAACCGTGGGAGCTTACAAAGCAACGCAGCTGACGCAACCGAGCAAGGTACCTTAGTACTAAATAAGAAAATACTGCTCAAATAATGAGAAAGATTGTTGACGACAAAAAGCCGATTAATAGGCCATCGGTCAGTAAGCGTCAGCGGAAAAAACCGATTAATAGGCTATCGGTCGGTAAGCGCTGGCGACAAAAACCGATTAGTCGGCTATCGGTCGGTAAAGTGTTAACATTGGCCAGGAAAAAAAAGAAAAAGAATTTCGAAAGGCGGATGTGACGGATTATTCAACTGATCGTCAATATCCTAGCGTTCTTTTCTTTTCTCTTTTTTTACGACGTTTTCGTGTCAAAGCAACCGCGTTTCGGCCGCATTGTGCTTTTATCCGGACAAGGTGCAAACCGCGTGGCACGGCGTATGACCGTGCATTTCAATGAGCCTCTTAAGGCAAACCGGGAGAAGCATCGCGTAGAAGCACGTTCTCGTTCGCGGCAGACAAATCTCGCTCTTACGCTTTAAGCCTCTTGCGAGTCCGTGGTGTTACCGTTTCGCGTATACGTATTCTCACCTATACGTATTCACACATCCGTTTCTTCAAATACGATTTCCAGATACATCAAAGGCTTTGTAATTGTTCATAGAGCTGTTCAGCTTTTATTCTCGTCTCTTGCGCCATAATTTCTTCGTTACAGTCAAAGCTCTATAATCTGTGAAATCTTCCTACTGTTACCTTTACTCCTAATAAAAATGTTTTTTTAAAAAAGTTACATTGGTTAATTATATATACAGGGTGGTTGGTAACTGGTGGTACAAACGGAAAGGGGGTGATTCTACGCGAAAAAAGAAGTCGAAAATATGGAATAAAAATTTTTCGTTCGGGGCTTTGTTTTCGAGAAAATCGACTTTGAATTTTCGCTCGGTACGCGTGCACTTTATCGCGTCTCGTTATAACGGATCTCACTGCAGATCGTTTTTTGATGGAAAAATTTAAAAAAAAATTAAAAAAGAAATTTTTATTCTATATTTTTGACTTCTTTTTTCGCGTGGAATCACCCCCTTTTTGCTTGTACCACCAGTTACCAACCACCCTGTATAATATAATAATTATGAGACATAATATTGAGAGTATGCAGTTACTAACCTACTACCTAACCCCAACCTAACCCCAACCACCCTGTATATAGTATGTACGTAGAATTTTGATAAAAAATTCCAAGTGTTAGAACGTTGAAATTTGTATAGCTTGAAATATTTGAAACGGAAGGTAGTTCGTAATATTCTGCAAAAATGAATTGGTTTTTCGAAACACGTGCTATTGGCAGGCCATCTGAGTGGTTCGTTTGATTTTTGTACATCCAGTTTTCATACTGCGATACCTCCGAACGTAATGCCCGGGCCTGTTATCGTAGCGTCGCTCCGTGTTATCGTAGCGGTGTTTTACACTGTCATTTACAATTTTTGCTTTCACGAAACATTTCCATTACGAAAATATAGCACATCGACCGATACGTTTTTCCTTTTATTCCAGTTTCATTCTATATATATCGTAATCGTTTTACATAAACATTTTACGTACAGTTAGTTTTCTAGGTCTATAGCTTTATTTGAATAGCAAATAGTGACGCAAACAAGCAAACCTGAATACGATAAAAAGAAAACCGAACAAACAGCGAATCGAGCGACACCGTGGCTTTCGTGCGAACGAAACAATTCGTCGTTACGTTTCGTCGTCTCTCGTCTCAAATGAAGTCGCCAGCGGCGCACAAACTGGGATACACAAAATGTATCACAGCGCTGTATATCGTGAGAATCGGCGAATAAACTCTTCTATAAGCAATGTATCGACGATCGGTATCGATCGACCGTGCGAAAGAGATGCAAAAACCGAAAATGTTTCCATTACGCATATTTCCGACAAATATCGTAGCTATTGGGTTGGCGACTAAGCGATTACGGATTTTGTCAATAGATGGTAATGACAAAATTCGCAACCGCTTAGTTGCCAACTCAATACATTACCCGGATTTTTATGCGCGCATAATAAACTTGAAAGCGTAGAATTCAACAATTTTCCAGCAATTTTCTATCCTTTTAATTATATTTCAAAAGATATGAAGTCGTATTATGTATATTACGTTTTCTACGTCTATCGATGTGTGCAGAATACTGGGAGCTTGTAGAGTCGTGTCTGCCGGTTGCTAACTATTCCATAACAGCGGCATCTCCGGAGCTGTTGCAGAGATTTAACGGTACAGAGGCGAAACCGCGACAACTTCGCAGCCGTGCGTTCGCAACTACAACCACATGACCACGCGATTCCAGACTAACAACTTTGTCGCGCGAAGAATGGAAATCTTTTAATTGCCTATACACTCGGTCGTATCGCGAATTCATTACGGAGCTTAAATCGAAGCTTGCAATTAACGACGAGTAATTTAACCGACGCGTCGATTCGTTCGGGAAACGAGGTGTACCGCGTTTGTTCGCGCAATTCCAATGTCTCTCGCCGATTATCTATTGTTTGTACGTCCTCGTCTTTCCCTCCTTTTAGTCTCCTTCTTGTTCGCCAATCTTTCGTCGTAATTCCAATAAGAGGAAATGCTGCGCGTGAAAGCGGACTCGCAGCTTCGAAACGTCCCGGTAAAGTAGAATTTATTCATCAGTTGATCGAAGAATCGTGGGTAGTCGTAAACAATGGCATCGCGTTCAAAACGAAACGTTGTTTATTAGATCGAGATTAAATCAGGCAAACAAAGCCATTATTTAATTTAAACATGATTCTTCCATTAACTTATACTTAACACTTTACTGACCGCTAGCGGTTCAACGGCATACGCACGTCCGACCGGCATCTCAGGCGCGGATTCTCCCTGGCGCCGGCTCTGTTTTGGTTCAGTCTCTCCGATACCATTCTTTTCGTTCATCGCGAACGCTAACTTTCTCAAATTGGTATAAAACTGTGGAAGCTTAGAAAGCAACGCAACTGACGCAACCGAGCAAGGTACCGTAGTACTAAATAACAAATTACTGCTCAAATAATGAAAAAGATTGTCGACGACAAAAAGCCGATTAAGAGGCTATCGGTCGATAAACGTCGGTGACAAAAAGCCGATTAATAGGCTATCAGTTGGTAAGCGTCGGCGATAAAAACCGATTAATCGGCTATCGGTCGATAAGCGTTGGTGACAAAAAGCCGATTAATAGGCTATCGGTCGGTAAGCGTCGGTGACAAAAAGCCGATTAATCGGCTATCGGTTGGTAAATTGTTAACAGGAGCAAAGAAAGTTCCATATTTCGAGATTTTGACGCGTGTTTCTCGTCTCATCGTTTCGACAAAGATTCGCGCGGCCGTCGATCGCAAAACGCTTCGGCCACGACGAGCCCACGTGAAAACAAAGCTTCCGGTTGTGATCTATATTTATAGACGCAGCGCTGGGCCTTTGAACTCTACCGCAATTCGCTTACGCGTTTAACCGTTTTAGTGGCAGGGGTTTTCAAGAATCCGTGCAGCCCGATTGTGCTACTCTTTTTTTTCGTTTATGCAGGGGATTTACGATTATTTGAAAAAACGAGTAATTGCGAGAGGAATCTCCGATACGGCTCGCGACGAGCTACATTCGGAACCGAACGCGTTGCGAATTGACGATCGTGACGAAACATCGCGATACAATTGATCACAGTCCGAGAACAGCGCGACGTGGCGCTAAAACGATTAACAAAAATGCGGCGCCGTGCACGCACCAGTTAAACGTTGGAAACGAGAACGGAGTGCGCGCGTTTTCTCGTTGACGAGGGAATAGAACTGATCGAGCGACGCCCAATCTGGTCGATCGCACTCGAGATCAGAGTCTGGAAGGAAAAGTAAGGACAACGAAATTGTTTGTCGAGTTTTCGATTAGTCGATACGCCGTTCAATATGTATGCAAATTAGGCAGCTCGGATGCAAATTCGAATAGTCGATATCCGGATGTTAGAGTGGCGCTGACGCCTTTCTGAATCGTGTCACGAGTGGAAAATATAGCAGAATCTGGTGATAACAGTCACACGTTCGTTCTCGATCCGTGGATATCATCTGTTTAACATTAGAACTACCGATAGTTCACGCGAAGATATTTCTATCAAAACCAGCGAAAACGACTGGTCTTTAAAAAATACGTAATAATAGAATATTTTTATATTTATTGATTTATTACTCTCTCACGGAAGGAATTCTATGTTATATAGTACATTTTTGATATTATTAATCCATCTGGGGCCATGATCCCTAAACGAGGGTTGACACATTTATATAAAATTGTAGAACCAGTCATTTTGACTGGCGTGGTGTTTCTAGTGTTAGCATCTAGCGATTCAGCGATCGATCCGGAATTTTCCTGATAACTGATATCGTCATATCGAAAAATTTGAAAAACGCGTGGCAAGTTGTAGAAAACGAGGAAACTGGTTAATTGGGGTTCGATAAACAGATCGCAGCACCCTTTTACACTTCGACAAGTACCAGTCATTTTCACTGGTATTGGTACAAGTAGCCTTGATACAAAATTATTTTCAGTTTGAATAGATAAAAAACAAAATAAAATTCATTATATTATTCTTTTAGTTATCGTTGCCAAAGTCATTACATCATCGCGGAAATAAGATATAACACAAAATAGGAATTTTAAAATAAAATTGTAAAACCAGTCAATTTGACTGGTGTGCTAGTTATAATGTTAAGAAAATATAATAGTTCGCAAAAGTATTGGAACACTTGATGGGGTGCGTGATCGATGATTCAGTGTTGAATATCATAAGGACG